CCCCCCCCCCCCCCCTTCCTGTATTTTGCCGCGTCGCACTTTTGTTCATCTCACATCCTCCCCGACGCCGACTCCGACTGAGTCATCTTCAAGCATGACGCACTCCATGAGCGACTAGTCCACTTTGTATTTGTAGGGCAAGCACTGCATGCGTGTGGGAGGTGGTTGGAACGGTATCCACGAACGATGAGTGAGTCGCTCTATCATTGCACTACGAGTTCTTGAGCGGTACACATGCAGGACAACGCCGGGATTGTTCGCGCTGGGGGGGTCGCACTTGTGGGCTGCGGCTGGTGCGAAGTGTTGGGCGGGGCCCCCGTGAGGGTGGCGTAGCACGCTGTAGGTGCTTCCCTCTTCGCCGTTGTTGCGAAAAATGTCCCTTTTATTATATTACAAAAAACATGTACATGTAGGGGTATTATTATCAGGCCGAAAAATAACTTTTTTCACCGAATAATAACTTTTTTCACGGAACCGTAACTAGGGTTTCCGGTGGTTCTTATCGGCAGAAGGCGCGAAGGCGCGTATTTTTTCAAAATTTACGGAAAGCGCCACGGCTCGACGTACACACACCGGTCCCGACCAGGCGAGAGACCCGAGGACTCCCACAACAGACGTAATAAACCCACACCAAGCCCAACAACGCCGCTGCCATAAAAACCGCACTCGCCGATATTGAGCCACTGCTGGGAAAGGTTGGCGGATCGGAAAAAATAGAGTGGTCAAAAAAAGAAGTGGAACACGCTTGCATGACTGCTGAACACGACAGCAAAGCTTCTGGCCTCGCCCTCCACAAGGAAATGACCGAGTCCCACGCCGAATTCTCGAAGAAAATTGTGGAGGAAGAGAAAGAAAACGAAGAGGGTTATCAGACGAGTGTTAGATTCCTGCGCAAAATGTTGGCCGGCATCGAGAAGGAAATGTTTGGCGACGAATAACACCCATATGCACTCCCGGAAAAGTGTTACCGTGCAATCGTCGAATTTTATGCATGCGTGACGGGGGGGGGGCGGGGGGTAGTTTTATTTTCATATTTGGGCATGGTTGAGTCAACGTCTCCGTTTCGTCGCAGCATTGAGGATACGTGCGCCTCCGCAGAGACGTGTGGGTTGTTTGGTTGGCAACAACACTTTGAGAGGATGCCTTGCGGCAACAAAGGAGTATCAACGAAAAAATACGGTGGAAGAACGCCGAAGACATTGCTGTCTTGCGGGTAACCTGCCGTGCCGGCAATCTGCGGACATGCATATCGTTTGGTGTTTTCCTNTCGAATGCCCCAACCGCAGGCGTCTTGTTGATGGCGTCGATCACCGACCACAAGTTCTGGTACGTGGTCGGCACCGACAAGCCAAACATGAGGGCAACATCCCAGTAACTAGTGCCAGCCAGGATCCTCAACGCCACGGCAACGCGGACTTCTACAGCTATGGCGCCGTTGATTGGCGATCGCAGTGCTGTGGGGTTTCGGAGCGACGCGCAGAAAATGTTCAAAGGATGAGCGTGTGTCGGTCAGGAAATATGTACCAGTGTCATAGGGGGTGTATTTGCAATCGCCAGCGTCAAAGGACGCATGCCATCGTTAAACTCGCCGGAGTACCGGCCCAATACACCTCCCGACTCGGGTTGTAAGACGGCTCTGTGTTCTTCCACGGAACACACAACTAACATCGCATATGCATATGAGGAGCACGTGGCGACTCTTGTATGCTATCATTGCGGGATACGACAACCTGTGTAGGCTCCCGACGAGGCATGTATAATGTATAGTGGTGCCGGCGTGTGTTGCACGCTCTATTCATACTGCTGAACTTATTTCAGCGCCACCATAGTACCTTCCTGTCGTTCCCATACAACGACTGCTGCTGTATGCATATGCAGACACTGCTGTACCTACTGCTGTAGAATANTTTTGAAAAAGATAGCAGACAAACAGCAAGGCATGTACAGCAGTAGTGTTTTTCCTGGGTTTTAGACTTGCTCTTCCCCGTTGTTCCCTACGTATACATGAGAGGAAGCCTTACGCATACCTGCCGTGGGCGGCTGCATTTACACATCAACACTCACCGCCGAAGAAGGCGTTGACTGCCAGCGAAGGGCGGAGTAGCTCGACAAGCTTGTAGAAACTGGCCTTCTCCATGCGGTACGACCGCCGCCAGCCTTGCCGTTTGTCGAGGTCCGCCTCGTGTTGGGCCCACGGAAGCCGCTTGGGCTCGTAGATGGGCNCAGTGGGCACGATGAGCTTCTCCTGCTGCCACCACGCCCGCCGCCACCACAGAAGACCCGGGACTGTGAGAGATCTCCTGTGTTCCTGGGCTTCACCGACCTCGTCGATAGCTCCTAGACGGCGCTTCTCCCGGCGTTGCGCTGCGGGCCCCTGGGGATGCTGGCGCNTGACAAGCTTGTGGAACAGCCTTCTCCATGCGGTACGACCGCCGCCAGCCTTGCCGTTTATCGAGGTCCGCCTCGTGTTGGGCCTGTCTCTTATACACATCTAGATGTGTATAAGAGACAGGNGGTGTGATGAAGACAGCACGCGTGACCGGTGCCTGCTCCGGTCGTCGAAAAAAGCGGGAAATTTTTCACCGAACAGTAAAAGGAGCAAGCCCAGAAAAAATGTGCTTCGCTCTTATTACGGAAATGTAGAGGAACGCCTCCATATATTTCAAGAAAGTACAACCGAATACGTATTTTTTCGGCCTGATAATAATACCCCGTATTTGTGTAGTCTAGACTCCTGTAGTGTATGTAGAGTCTAGTCTGGATGATGGAATAAAAAATAGTAGTCTAGTAGACTAGATGTATGTTGCGTTGCGCGGTCTTCTTGCGGTTTGTTTTTCTCTTCTTGGACATGAAGCGCTTTCGAAACCCTGCGTGTCCGACATCGACCCGGTGGAAAATACAAGAAAACCCTGATTGATGAACGCTGCTCTTCAAGCTGCATGTGAATGCTGCCACTGGCATACGTGTGCTGTCGAGCGTGCAGCACGGCACAACACGTATCATCGACCCCTATACCTTCCCCTGCTGATGTGGCCACTGTTATTCTTGGCACTTTCAGGCATATTCCGTCCTCCGGGGCTTCTCCCCTGCAACTAACTGCCGATCGACCCCGTCGTGAAGCCCTCTCCGAAAAGTGTGTCCATCAAAAGAAGCAACGGCTTTTTCTTTGTCCCGATCGGGACGAAGACTCAATGGACCACCGTTGGTTGACAACTAACTACGGTTGGCATGTCCAGACACCTAGAAGTGACTTGGCTTGGTTCCTTTCCGGTGTTCAGCACCTCAAGGCCTGATGTTGCTGTAGGAAGACCCCAGTTTGACGGGGCTCTGGTGTAACATGTACGACCGGCGATCCTTCGATCCCACAGGTGCCAGCAGGGGTGTTTTTACGGATGTCACCGCATCACCGAAGGATTTGTGTCACGGAAGAAGAGGCAAAAAAACGTTGGTTCGCCCCTCTGCGGAAGCTCTTGTGCTGTCGATATCCTCACATGTGCTTTGAGCCTTCGAACTACAGAAATAATGCTGGTGCACTTGCTGTGTTCGCTCACACCGTCTGGCTCCCTAAGTCTTTAATACCCTCTCTGCAAAGTACAGGATGCCTACCCCAAAACAAAAATTGAATCTACAGCACGTTGTAGTGCAAGAAGAGACATGGCCCCCAAGCAACCAATAGCCCGAGGGAAACCCAGGAAATTTCCTGCATTTTCTGCGTTCAACCGCGACGCCACCCTGGAGAGGCTCTCCCACATGATGCAAGCATCGAAGTTAGCAAGTCAACAACTCAACAAGAGCAGGCTCTCACCCGGCTGCTTACTGAGCGGCAACCTTGCGCCACGCACGGCCTTACAAGGGAAACAAAGAGGGTCCCGCGGTGGTCAGTGCTGGGGGTGCACCCTCTCGCATGGACTTCCAGCAAGCGGAAACGCCGACCTTCTGCGCAATGACACTCGCGTCCGAGCACAAGTTGACCATGAGCAACAGCCTCTCGTCCGGCAGGACCTCGAGTCCATCGCCACGCATCACCGATGTCAGCCCCCCACCTCCCGACCACGGGTGGAAAGCTACCCAGCGGAACTACCCGTCGCGGTACAACGAGCTCGCCATCAGTGACGACGGCGAGAGCAGCATTCTGAGCATTCAGGCTCCTTCGACAACAACAGCGGCACCAGCACCAGCAGCAGCACCTTCTACCCCGAGGTCGGAGGCGCCGCGGCGGAGAGTGCTTTGGACAGCGTTTGACTCCCCACCGCCGGGGCCGGGGGGAGGGAGGGAGCTCGAGAGACGGAAGACGACGTTCAAGATTTACGTTATATTCAGGGGCGGTTGGTGCACCTCAAGCCAGGCACTCCTCAAAGGCGAGTTTGTTCAGCATCTCCTTTATTCTATCCATGCGAAGCTGCTACACCTTGGCTACACCCGACAAGCATTTTAGCCGTTCTCAGCACCAAAGGGGCAAATCGGGTCTGGCTTCATGTTGAACGAACCATGGAAATAAGGTCACCAGCAGATAGTAGATATGCACGAAACACCGAGTGTCACGAGGCGCATGCCACGGGAGGGCGTCTCTCCCTCAACCAAACACAACGCCCTTGGGTGCTGGTGCCGCCCCTATTTTATGAGCTGGATACACTATAAGGCAAAACCGCCACCGTCCGGGGTAAAGGGGAGAGGGAGACTCGGAACAACGTCCCGTCCAAAACTGTTTTCGTACGTACCACACAACCAGCTCTCCCGGTACACACGGGCGCAAACAACACCCTTAGTCGCTTCGTAGCACCACCCAGCGTTGCGCGCTTGCTTCTTACACCTCTGTCTGTGACGTATGGAAACGAGGAATAACGTCCCACACAACGACACGCTGTCTGTCGCATCACATTTCCGGGAACGATCCAATGTTTGCTGGAAACGAAGCAGCTTCAGTAATTTCAAAGCAAATATGTTTTGGAGCGATTTATTGAATCTTTTCCTCCTGCGTGCTTTACCCCCCTCCTGACCTCTCTCCCCCCCGACCGCCCTGAGCAGCTAGCCCCCCCTCGTTACCACATACCAGGTAGCACTTTGACATCTCTTTTACGTAAGTATGCATTTGTGCAACAACAGCAGGATTCTACCTGGTGTACATTGCATACATGGATGCCCCACTTGTGGTTGTACATCGTACTGATATCCTTACCGGAGATTTCGTCACCCGCTGTGGATGGATTGTGGTCTACGGTACAAGTGTATAAATTTGCCTGCTGTGTAAATGCTGCTGTACCTCCTTGCATAAGGGTGGTTTTGAATTGAAAATGCGCCTTCGCACGACTTATGTATTATTAGTATGCATGTGCTGCAGGCACTGCTGTTCTAATTCCAGCATGCCAGCAATACCACGCGATCGATCCGATCCCGCTTGCCTCTCCCAACTTTCTGCTTTTCCAATATACGGGAGCACCACACACACCTGGTGGAACATCGCCACCTTGTTCTTTCCTTTCTCCAGGCGTCGTTGAATGTAGTGGATTGTGTCCTACAGTAAATCTTAGGTACCCGTAAGAACGCTCTTTACAGGTTTGTATCTCTTCATTTTTCGCCCGGCTCATCATGTCGAAAGACGTCCGCTCTGTCAGCTACGTATTACTCTTATACATATAGTTACACGTCCTTGTTGCTGGTATGCATCCTTGTAGTCAGCTGTGGGCTGGTCCTGCTCCGTTGCTTTTTTTTTTTGCCATGTTGCATCATCAAACCTTGCTGAGCCCCGCGGGGCTCTCTTATGAGCCACGCCCGCCGGGGGCATGTACCTGCATGACTGGAATGATTAAAAGGATGCATTGGCCCGAGTCGTTCAACCCAACCACGGCTGTACCCTGGCGCGTGGAAGAAATGCTGGGTGCGCCCCTTCCGCGCATCCGCTGGTCTCCTGCTTGTGAACAATTATTTGCCTTCAGACCGTTCGTCATGTGAAACTACGCCCTGTTGCTCGCCCCACAATGGCACCCACTGCCCTAACAATGGGCAATAGAAATAGGCATACTAGGTTTGCCCAACTTGTAACTTGCAATACTCGGCGAACCACATAACACTACTCCTATCATTTAGCCATACACAGCAGCAGTACATGTCTCCCAGAACATAACTATTTCGCAAAACCATGCATCGCGTTCGTGCCATCGGGAGTCCGGTCTACAAGAATTCGGGTACAGCTGCTGTATGCCTCTGATATTCGATGGTGCGCAGATGTTCCACCCAAAACAAATGCCGAAACTGCTGTGTCATATCATACCGTTGAACACGGCCGGGTTACCAACCCGACCTGACGGTAGGCGATGGAAAGCAACGGCTGCCGAAATATCAGGGAATCTTCACACTGCTGTACGCGCATGCTGATGTCGAAGAATTACCTCCCGCTCGAGATGTTATCCCGTTCGAAGGGTTGTGTGTTGCAACGTTGCAACCGTTAACGCCAAAGCAAGCAGCGCAGAAGGAAGGCGGCGAAGAAAACTAAGCACACCTGGCACCCTGCACTGGCTGCTAGATCTTCAGCGAATACTTGAATATTCCTGTACTGCTGTTGGCTCGTTTGCTTGTTTGGTCGTCCTGCAGGGTTCATGGAGCTTAACCCGGCCATTAAGAAGGCCGGGGGTAAGGTGGTCGCCCTCAGCTCGCAGACAGCGGAGCAGGTCGGCCGGGCGGCGCATGACATGCGCCTCCCCTTCCAGGCGTTCGGAGACCCCAGCAACGGCCTCGTGGACGAGATGAACATTCGGTGAGAGAAGCGTTGTACGTGGAGGAGCGAACATATCGCGTTGTTGCCATACGGCGAGGCAGGGGAGAGGGGCCCTACTTTTTTTTTTCGTTTTTTTTTTGCCTTGCTTTGGCTGGCATGTGGCAAGATCTTAAATTGTTGCTGTGTTACGCAAGCCGTTGGATGGATCTCTCTGCGCCACGCAGTGGTGTTTTGGATGCCGTACAAACTGCTGCAGGTGGGACGTCACACACGATAACAGCAACCCGTTGAGCGCAAACGTGGAGCCCGTTGGCTGCAGCTGTGGCGTGCTGTAAGGGGAGGCTTCTCGCGCCATCCTTTTGTCGAGGTACACCAACCTGTGCCTGTTTCTTGTTTGGGCCGTGAACAATCTGTATCCGTAATGGCATTCCGCCGTACGTGTGATGTCTTCCGTACGCCCGTGTATTTGACGCTCCCTCCTACCCCTCCCCCCCGTGCTTTCGTTGTTCTATGTGCATACGTACCGCGAAAGGTTCAAGATGGGCTGCACCGTGAACCGGAACGAAATGGTGAAAGACGCCTACCCTCACGGGATGGCGCAACCGTGCGTGTTGGCCGTGTTAACCGACGACGCTCAGGACGAGGGATCGGTTTTGTTCAGATGGAACCAGTGGCAGGTGCGTGGTCGAGGTCGTTGGTGGTTCTCACTTCAGGCACTACTGCAAGGACCTGACGCCATCCTCTTGGACTGTGTGGCTAGCAAGTAGTCTTTCTTTTTTGGATAGGGACATATTTTTTTGGTTCATAGAAGCCGGGCACAATATGTGCTCTTGTGGCGCAGGAAACATGACTTGTGTTTGCCCCGACTGGTTTCTAACATGTTTGAGGACAAGCGGGTGACGGACTTTTGCCCGGCCAACGACTTGCATGGTTGCCGCGCTTAAGGACGGAGAAGCCGCTCAACACCAACAGCGAATTCGGTATTTTCTTGTTCTGTGGTTGGTTCGATCGAAGCTGGGCTGCTGCTGTCGGTCGTCAACGTTTCACGTGCGCCCGTTACCGTTACCAGCGTGCGGCGTGCCCGTCTAATCAAAGTTAAATTTGCCACTAGGGGGACGGTTGAACGTCCTGTCTCGTACTAGACTCTGTACTGATAGTCACCTCCATTCCCCCCCCCTCACCTCTGACCCTCTCGCCCCCACCTCTCTCTTGTCATCACCCCCCCCCCACATCCAGACGATCGCGTCCATGAGACACGCCGACACCTTGGCGCACATCACCAGGGCGCTTGCCTCCAAGGCGGACGGACCAGAAGGTGGGCCTTCCTCGGGCACACCGACGGCGACAACGCACGTCGGCCTCGACGGCTTCGCCACCCCGCCCTCCTCCGCCGCTGCCGCGCCGCCGCCGGCTCGACTCCCTCCCCGCCAGCCCACGCCCCTCCGACAACCGCCGCGCGTGGGCTCGCCGTCATCATCGTTTGGAAGAACCGGCGAGTTCGCGCCGTTTCGGGGCGACAAGGTAGGCCTGTGGGTCCCGGGTAACCGACGGGAATCCCGCGAACGTCCCACCACCGCCTCCGGTACCCGCGGCGGCGGGCGGGGGGCGATGGCGGCAACGGCGGGCGCGGCTGCAGACGCGGCGCTCGCGGTGGGGTGGATGAGAACGGGCCGAAACCCGGCTTCGTTGTCGAAGTCGCGGGCAGCGGGGAGCAGCGGAGGCCACGGCGGTAGAACAGCGGAGAAGGAGGAGGAAGAGGACGAGGACGTGCACGCCCAGGAAAGAAGCAGAGGCGGTGGAGGAGGGAGGAGGGCGCCGCCTCGAGCGCGAGCGGCGACGCCGCCGCCCGGCGGCGGCGGTGGTGGCAGTGGCGGCGGCAGAGCGGTTTTGAGGACGCCCCGTGGGGGCGCCATGGGCAGGAACAGCCACCCAGAGGAAGAAGGGGGTGCGTTTTTTTTCGGGCGGGAAGGATACGCGGACCATACCGGCGGCGGCACCGGCGGGGGGCACCTCCGCAGACCGCCGGCCGGCCCGTCTCGCTCCCACCTTCTGCCGACGTACTCTCAAGCGGCGGCGTCGCCCGCGACCCCCACGAGGCAGCAGCTACCCCCGCAGCACCGACGTCCGAGGTCAGACACGCACGCGCAGAGAGGCACGGGGACGGGGGTCAGGGGGGAGCGACCCCGGCACCATACGGCGGAGGGCACCCCGCGCGGTGTTGGGGGGTGGCAGTTCTGGTTGGGGTCGACCGGCAGGGCCAGACGGGCGAGCTTCGACGAGGCTGCAGCAGACTTCGAGAGAGGGAGCGCCGATGGCGGAGGGGGGGGGGGGG